CCCCCAGCTCAACTTGACCTAAAGACTTGAACCCTTGTTGAAAGCCACCACAACAAGAGACCCCTCTGCACCCCAGACTGTTGCCGCTCAAGCGCCCCTGGAAACCATCCATCCACACCGATCCCCTCTCCCTTCTCCCCTAAACTCCAGCCACCAGAAGACACATCATTGAGATAGTCCAGTGGGCAGAGGCGTATCGACAACAAAGCCTCCCACCAATCCTATCCAATCTTCTATTCCTCCTCATTTTCCTTTCCTCCGTTCCCAAAATCCATTCACTATATCCCTCTGCTCCTCCCAAACAATTGTATATTGTGTCCTCACTGCTTCCTTCACCCCTCTATGGCACCCACCACCTCCTCCTAATACTCTACTCTCCCACTGACCTGAACACCTCCGCTAGTAGTTTCACACGCTCCTGCACATCCCGCTCCCATGCCACCTTTCTCACCCTTCTCCTCCTCCTAACCGCAGGGGACATCTCCTCGAATCCTGGCCCTCCCTCACCCACACAACACCCTCCCGCCTCCACATCCTGCCGCAACCCCCGCAACTTAGTATCTGTCCCCCTGCTCCCTAAAACCCCCCCCCCCCGTTTTCATGTGCACTCCTGTACGCCCGATCGGTGTGCAACAAGCTTACCACCATCCACAACCTCTTTGTTTCCTGCTCCCTCAACCTCCTAGCGATCACGGAAACCTGGATCCAGGCCACTGACTCTACCTCCCCTGCTGCACTCTCCTACGGAGGTCTCACCTGGACCCACTCACTCAGACCCAATGGTCGTAAAGGTGGTGGGGTTGGTCTGCTCCTGTCACCACAGAGCACCTTCCGAGTCCTCCCAAACCCCCCCTCTCTATCTTTCTTCTCCTTCGAGGCCCACTGCGTCCGACTATTCTCCCCAACCCCCCCTGAAGATTGCTGTGATATACCAGCCTCCTGGATCCATATCCCGCTTCCTGGATGACTTTGCCTCCTGGCTACCCTTCTTCCTCTCCTCTGAGCTACCCGCCATCATCCTTGGGGATTTCAACATCCCTGTCAACTTCGACAACCTGGCCACATCCCATCTCCTCCACTCCACTTAACCTCCTCCTTTGCACTTGCACAGTGCATACAATCCACCACCCACTCCGACGGTAATATCCTTGATCTCATCTTCTCCAACAGCTGCGCTCCCCACAACCTCACTAACACCCCCTTCCCTCTCTCTGACCACAACCTGATTACCTTCTCTATCTCCTCGTCCTCCAACGCCTACCCCTCCAAAATGTCACACTACTACCAGCCGTAACCTCCGCAACCTTAACCCTGCCCTCCTCCACTCTGCAGATGATCAACTCCACGACAGCATCCTCCCCCTGCCCTGCCCCGACTTGGCTATGACTGCCTATAACAACGCGCTGTCAACAGCCCTTGACTCACTAGTGCCTTTAACCACACGCAACATCAGACCCCGACCGCTCCAGCCCTGGCAGACTGATCACACCAAAACCCTCAAACGACACAGTCGTGCCCTGGAGCGACTATGGCGCAAAACCAAATCCCAACAAGCCTTCACCCGCTACAAATCTGCCTTCCACACCTACACCTCCTCCCTCCACGCAGCCAAACAAGCCTACTTCCTGACCCTCATCAAGGCCCTCTCTTTCAATCCTCGCCGACTCTTCTCCACCTTCAACTCTCTACTCTCTCCACCTCCACCCAGCACCTCACTCACTCTTGAGAGATTGCCAATCACTTCAAAAACAAGATTGACACAATTCGCAAGGACATCGCCGCAACTCACACTCCCTCTTAACCCGTCCCCTCTCACACAGCTACCCCCTCATCCGCCCTCTCCCTCGACATAACCCTCAGGGACTTCGTCACTGCTCAAACTCCCTCCAACCCCGTTCCCCCTCACTCAGCTACCCCCTCATCACCCCTCTCCCACGGCCGCACCACTGCTCTGACCTCCACCCCACCCTACATTCCTCATACTGAAGCCCCCTCCACACTCCGCACCTTTGACCTTACTACCATCGAGGAAGTCTCCAAGGTCCTCTCTGATGCCCGCCTCACCACCTGCCCCCTCGACCCTATCCCCTGAACTCCTACAACCTCCTTCCCCCTCCATCCTATGCTCCCTCACCCTCATCTTTAATCTCTCCCTCTCTTCCGGTACTTTCTCCTCCCCTCTGAAGCATGCACACATCACCCCTATACCTAAAAAGCCCTCCCTGGACCCCAATGACCTGAACAACCTCAGACCCATCTCCCTGCTCCCATTCACATCCAAACTCTTTGAGCGCCTAGTCTACACCCACCTAAGCTCTCACCTCAACGACAACAACCTCCTCAATCCCCTACAGTCCGGCTTCCGTCCCCTACTCTCCACCGAAACTGCCTTACTCAAAACTCTCCAACGACCTGCTAACCGCCAAAGCTAATGGCCACTATTCAGTGCTCCTACTCCTTGACCTCTCCACGGCCTTCGACACAGTCGACCACCCCTTCCTCCTCAAAAAACTACACTCCCTCGGCCTCAGAGATTCTGCTCTCTCCTGGCTCTCATCCTACCTGTCACAACGCTCTTTCAGAGTTACCTATAATGCTACCACCTTCCCCTCACTTCCCCTCTCTGTTGGGGTCCCTCAAGGCTCTGTCCTCGGGCCCCTTCTCTTCTCCATCTACACCTCCTCCCTTGGCCAACTCATACACTCTCACGGCTTCAACTACCACCTATATGCCAACAACACACAAATCTGTCTACCCCCCACCTCACCCCCTCAGTCAGTCTCCGCCCGAATCACACACCTACTGAGCGACATAGACTGGATGTCGCTCCACTTCCTTAAACTGAACCTCTCCAAAACAGAGTTTCTTGTCTTTCCCCCAGCCCAGACCCCACCCCCCATTGACTTCTCCATCATGTCCAACAACACCACCATCAAAGCCGCCCGCAGGCCAGAGTACTTGGTGTCATTCTGGACTCCAACCTATCCTTCCAGCCCCAAGTCCAATCTTTAACAAACTCTTGCAGACTCCACCTCTGCAACATCGCCAAAATACGGACTTTCCTAACCCCAGAAACCACTAAACAGCTCATCCACTCCCTCATCATATCAAGACTCAATTACTGCAACTCCCTCCTTACTGGCCTGCCTCGCCGCAGGCTATCCCCGCTTCAGTCTATCCTGAACACGGCTGCCAGACTCATTCACCTTTCCAACCACTCCGTTTCCGCCACCCCCCTCTGCCAACCCCTCCACTGGCTTCCGATTGCGCAACTGATCAAATTCAAAATCCTAACACTGACGTACAAAGCCGTCCACCATACTGCCGCAAACTACATCACTGACCTAATATCCAAGTACCACCCAGCACGCACACTCCGCTCCTCACAAGGCCTCCTTCTCTCTAGTTCCCTGGTCTCCTCCTCCCATGCCCGCCTCCAGGACTTCTCCAGGGTGTCACCCATCCTCTGGAACTCCCTGCCCCAACCCATCAGATTATCACCTACTCTCCTCTCCTTTAGGCGCACCCTGAAAACCCACCTCTTCAGGGAAGCCTACCCCACCCCCTGCTAATTTGCCGACCTCCTTCATTCTTCCTACCACTCCATCCCCCACAGCTTTCTCCTCCTGTGCCACCATCCCCTCCCTCCTAGATTGTAAGCTCAAAAGAGCAGGGCCCTCGATCCCCTCATGTTTTGCACTGTATTGTTATTGTTCTGTCACATGTTCTGTCCCCCTTTGTAATGTACAGCGCTGAGCGAACTATTGGCGCTTTATAAATACTGTATAATAATAATAATAATAGTGTGATACTGCCTGAGACAGAATCTCCTCTCCTCCTGTGTTTGTAAAAATATACTAGCAGCCAGACTCACTGTAAGAGCTGCTGCATAACACTCTGGAAGTCATCTCACAAGTTTCTGAAATGAGAGCAATGTGAGAGAGCTAGCAGAGGAGAGGAACACTCAGTCAGCCATCTTTGATGGATATGCCTAACAGGACTGTCCTTGATTTTGCGGTGGATCTATCAGAGATGGTTTACGAAGGATCTTCTAACCGCCCCACATTGCATTACATTCCAGAAGCTTCTGTGGTCACTCACATAACATGTTAGGCAGCAGCTCAGAGATAGGAGAGGAAAGAGAGGGGACATATGCTACACACGTGGTTCTACCCCATAAGTGACAAAAGAGTCATGTGGGGCAGGAGAAATGAAGCACAGATTGAGCATGCGCTGAACGTGTGGTAACAAAGGATCCTTAAAGAACGGCTGTGACAGTATTGTCACTGACAAAGGGAAAAGGGATGGAAGCGTGAGGATCAACCAGGTATTTGAAAAATAGTAACAGATGAAGACCAGCACACAATACACAAGGGTTTGGGGTGTTTAATGACACAATGAAACTGATGACTTTTTCTGGTCACATGTCATTAAGGATACAGGACAGCTACTGTAACAAAATATGTTAGACAAGTGTAGAACCTAGCACTATAATGCCAGTTAAACAGGTGCCTCATCATGGAAGGACAAAACCACTAAAATGAATGGCTTATGTTCATTTTGTGCCACAGTTACTATAGAACACTCGGTTTTAACATATTACTTTTTCATGCTTTGGGGTATTATCAATATCCGATTGACATGTGATTCGATCAAAACTGATTCAATCAGCCAAAGCAAAATATCATCGATCATTTTGCATCAGTTGGCAGCACTGAGATACTTTGTTCATACATATGACTATTTTAACCGATCAGATTATGAGATTACAGTTGTGATCAATAATTTATAATCATAAGTTAAGATTGAATCTTAATTAGTGATGAAAATCCACTTCCCTGTTTGTGGCATATCGATCAAATAGGTTGGCGACCATAGATTAATTATTCTTATTTGAAGAGATCGATCAGAAAATAAATCTATCATTTACCAAAGCATGTATTGCCCACCATTACACCCTAAATGGAGTTCTAAACATCAATCTCTGTGTGCACATTTACCTTCAACTTGTGATTATATTCAGAGTTTGAGCCAAGAACATGCTCAACTTCAATATGAGGAAACTCGTATGTCAGAACAGACTTCACAATTTCAGCAGTAAGTACTTCTCCACCATTTAGTTTATTGTACATCTGCAAAAAAAACCAAAAACATTATATATCTATAAAAAATGCTTGTTATACTCACTGTGGAACCTAAAGAGTTAATCCTTTGCATTGTGTAAAAAGGCTGTTTAATCTCATCTTCTCTGATCCTTCCCTTCTACTGTCCCTCATCCACCTGCTGATAGAACAGATCCTTGGGGTCAAGCTGCACATGCTCAGTTTGGTGTGTATTGTTAGAGTTTTTTTTTTCTTGGGAGATTGCATGTGATCAGCACAGGGCCAATCAGCACTGTCCAGACAGAAGGTGAGGGGTTATGCAGCCTCATACGACAATCAGGGGAGAATGAAAACTGCTCCTACAAGCTTTAACCAGTGCTCTGCTGGACACTGATACAAGACTGCTTTGTTGATGAAAAAAGTATTTAGCCGTTTAGAAACATAAATAACTACTGCACTGCCACTAATGAGTGAATGTGCCACACTACGTTCGTGATAGTGGCCCACATATAAACATATACCTCTATAGCCTATAAACTCAGAATGTGCCCCTCCACCTCAGGGTCAGAATGCAACCTTGTAATATAGAAATTGGTTAAATGCCCTACGTGCTTTGTCCAGTGCTGTCAATAGTGTTAAATGACTGAAATATTGTTCAATTAGTGTACCAATCATGAACATCAATATTCCCAGTATGAATCAGTGGCAATCAAAAACCTCAAACCATAAATATACATAAACACAGTGCACTTGTAGGCAAGTTCATTCAAATGCATAAAGTTCCAATGTGAGAAACTTTCCCCATCCACATCCAATGTGAAACTATGTGATGCTGTGACAGTCTTCTTATTCGTGACAAACTTAGTGATAGGTGCTCTGCTTAGTGTTCCCCCTCCAGAGCCCCACTCACCACAAGATGTTGTGGTGTTGTGAAACTGTTTAGTTTCTAAGTGAATTATGCAGTAAAAAGGACTGCATATGTCATTATACATGGAATTAAGATGGTAATGTCAGGTCAGTGTGTACCATTTGCACAAATATTCTGTACAATGTTATGTCATTGTGACAGCCTCTACTCAAATATCAGCTATGACAAGAGCTGTGGAGGACAGGGTTCATTTCATATTAGCACTTTGTATGACAAACATGGGCTTTACTTAATTAGAGCAGGCAATATACAGGCCAGGTCACTCAGTTGAAAACAAGCTGCATTTCCAGTTCAGTATTAATATATGGGATCACTATGTACATGTTAATCTATGGACCAGATTTGCCCACCTGATGCTAACATTATGTTTATAGAATAAGTGCAGCGCTAAAAATAATCCGGACAGATTTATGGTAGCAATGTTCATAAATGTGTAGTTAGTCCTCAATATAAGAGCTCAAAGGTGATATATTATTCCCATGGTCATAGTTAGAATAAGACTCGGTGAGGGGCAGGGTATGTACAAAAATGCGCACTCACCAGAAGCGCAAAGAAAATGCGCAATGTATCAGCAAAACGGAGGTCTGCCAGGGGGGGTCCCTTTCAGGATAGGAATGGAGCCAGCCCAGGATGGATGGACATCGTCTATGTAGATGTTCTCAAAATAGGGGGTCCACTTTAAGGACACGGGTGCAGCCTCTAACATTATGTTGTAATCTTAATAGTGCCATTATTTAAATTTTTGCCTCTTGTAGGTCATCAATAATTGATAACACCCACAACTCTGACTTTCTTGATAAATTATTTTCCAACTTCACCATAAACTAACATTTTTCTATCTCCTACAAATGCTACACTTAATTGCCCATTCAGCTATACCGGAAAAAGGCAATTTTCAGGCCCTTCTTTTATGTTCATCTGTTTTCTTTACTTAAGTGCACACTATTTTATCATAGTGTCACCTATCCAGAGTTTGCCTGTTTTAGGAACCTACTAGACTCCTACAGTGCCAGTGATGCCAGCAGCCATGTGTGGCTTTGTCTTGTCACCATCTCACAGTTCAGTAGAGTGGTCCTCTGTGTATTAAAAGCAAAAAAAAGAGGAATTATGACTTACCTGTAAATTCCATATCTTGGAGCACAGTACAGGACACATGCAGAGTATTCATACACCATAGGTTATAGGTGTGTACCTTCCAGTGAGTGGACACGGGCAAAACTTTTGAGGACACACCCCCAGGCGCCACTCCTATAACCCTACTCTACTCTGTGAGCAGCATGTTTTACAGCAAGCAATGCAAACTAAACCAAGCAATGAAGGGGAGGGTGGCCTTTGTCTTGCACCATACTTCAAGATATAGAATTTAAAAGTAAGTCAAACTTTCTCTTATCTTGATTGTGCAGTACAAGACACAGGCAGTGTATTCATACATCATGGTATGTCCCCAAGCAGTTAATAAAAATGATGGGCATTAATTCAGCAAGTATAACTGTGCCAACAGGCCAAAACAGGGTAGAAGACCCAACTTCAGACTGCCACTGTGAGAAACCTGTGGCCAAACAACTGCATTCTCAGAAGAAGACTGAGCCCACCAAGTAAGTAAAGCATGAAAAAGCATGAACAGATTATCAGGTGGTTGCATTACAAAGCTGGGCTACAGAGACTTGGTGCCCAACATTCCCAAAAAACTCGCACTGATCTTGGGAATGAGTGTGTAAAAGTGCAGGAGGAAAGGTTTCTTTCAGAATATGAACTCTTGCAATTAGAATCCATATCCTTCCATCCATATATCAATGGTGGACTTTAAAGCACGATGTCCCATGCCAGATCTCGAAGACAGCACACGATAAACAGGCAGTCAATCCATCTGATTGGAGCAGCTTTGAGGTATAAGTGAATGGCTCTAACTACATAAAGGCAAACATGAGATTTCCTTTGAATGCTTAGGAGCAGGTCATAAGGATGGTAGGACTATGTCCTTATTGAGTTGGAATACTGAAATCACCTTCCAAAGAAAGAATGTCCTTAGGCATAAGACATCCTTGACATTGTGAATTATGAGAAAAGGCTCTTTACAGGCAAGGGTCACCAGTTCAGAAAACACATTTGACAGACGTAAAGGGGACCAAAAAAAGCTACTTTTCAGAAGAGATCTTCCAGGGGAATATCCCTGTTAAGTTTAAAGTTGTACAGGGCAGAGAGAACCAAGTGGCGCTTCAGAGGAAGCTTAATACAAGATACACCGTGAAGAAAGGTTCTTACAAGGAAGAGTGAAGCCAGAGGCACTTGAAATAGAGGTCTGTCCTTTGGAAGTGCTTAAGGCCAAGTTCTGGTCAAGACCTGTTGTACTAAGTCATGAATATGAGGCACAGAGTAATCTCTAGAATTGAATTGCTTATGCTCACATCAGGCAAAAGAGGATTTCCAGGTACAATTGTAAATCTCTCTCATGCCATTGTGGGACCTGCACAAATTCCTGGAGCTGCAACCACTCACACAGTGAAACGTGAGACTTATGGGCAGGCAAGCGTCATTAATCTTAATGGCATGCTGCCCACACTGTAAATTGCACCCACACTGGGAACCTTGCTTCCCATGCAGGCTACAATTTCCAAAGTAATGCAAGGACTTTTCCTGTGTATCACGTGGCATGGCACCAAATGCAAATAAATGGGATGTCAAGCTCACGCAAACCGCAGCCCACTCAGACACATTGATGTGAACCACGGCTTAAAGTGCCGTTCTTGCTTTTACCAAGGTAGGAATGACAGACTGAGACATCACTCATTTAAGACCCGTACCTAAGAGGCATGCCATTAAATCCAGAGATACGATGGCATAGGGAGCCCTAAGACTGTAGGTCTGGCATCTTGGGAAGAGGAAAGGAGTCACCACTAATCAGTCTGAGTATGTCTGTGTACCAGGTTCTTCTGGGCCAGTTTGGTGCAATTAGGATCATTGTTTTCTTCTTATGCTCTATTTTTTTGACCAGAACAGATCGAATTCACACGGCAGGGAGGCATAGATTCTCCTGAAATGATACTAGGGGGCCAGCTGTGCCTGGTTCTGGAAACAAACAGAGGTAGTTTGTTGAATCTGGAGGCTAGGATGTCCACATCTGGAATCCCCCGTTTTGGCATATCAGAATAAAGGTATCTGGATGAAGGGCCCATTCTCCTTCATCCAGGCAGTAGAAGATGTCGACTCCTAGGATGTGGACTGCAGTGATCGCTGGACTGAGTTTCTGTCCACGAGATTATCTGGTTTGCTTTCTTCAAGGCAACCAGACTCATGGTCCCCCCATGCTGGGCAATGTAGGCCACATCTGTGGCCTTATCTGCCTGCACCCTGCCTGGATATTTCTTCAGAAAGGGGGGCCCAGTGCTGAAGGATCACTGGGACTGTTCTGAGCTCCAAGATGAGGATGGGCAGGTTGGTTCCCCCAATAATCATGTTCCTTGAATTGTTATGGATTGGAACACTCCTCCCAAGCCTGAGAGACTTGCGCCTGTTGTGATAACGTTCCAGCAATATGTAAGGAAGGACTTCCCCACTGTTAAGGCTGGGGTAGTGATCCAAAAAGATAGGGTGCTTGGCTGGACAGGAGCATGGCTAAATCGAGAAGGAGCCTGCTTTTTTCAGGTCAACAAGGTATTAAGTTTAAGAGTTCTTGAATGGAATTAGGAAAATGGTACTGCCTTGGAAGAGGCTACAATTATGCATAGAAATGTCATGGAGAACCTCAATATGGGATGTCTTTTTGAATCTCAATTTTGAGCATGGGCTATTAAAGAAAGAATTTTCTTTTATAGGAAAAAAAGACTTGCTTAGGAAGTGTTTAGGACCAGACCCAAATAATCCAGGTGAAGGGGAGGCTGGGGAGCAGATTTTTTAAACTGATTACCCAAAGACCTGCAGAATCTAAATTGTTCTGTGAACATTTTATGATCGCTGGAATGGAGAAAGTTCCTTCAAAAGATTATCGTCTAGATAGCCTGTGACTTGGATGTTCTGAGTTCTGAGAATATGTTCTAAGACCTTTGTAAAAACTGTTGGAAAAGGATAGGCATAAGGGTAGTGCGACAACCTTGAAGTGATTTCCCACCACTTTGGAGTTCACATAAAGCACTGATGAGCTGGAGAAATGGGAACATGCAGATAGTAATCTTGGATTTCAATGGATGCCATATATTCCCCTAGAAAGGCAATTGCTGACCTTGCAGATTTCACTGGAAATTCTGAAATCTGAAGGAATCTCTTGAAGGATTTTAAGTTTCAGAATAGGAATACCATAAACAGGTTTGAGCACAATCCTTTGAACCGTACAGGCACAATGACTTGGACAAGAGATGGTGTTGGACATTCTAAAAATCTAACTGTCCCTGGGTAGTTTTTGGTTGTTTTGAAAGAAGAGGGTGAGGGGGAAGAGTTTTGAACTCCATTTTATACCCCTTTTTAAACCACTGATAGAACTCATTGGTCTGGGACATCTGTAACCCAGCGATAGGACAGTTTTAACAACTGTTCCCTCACTCTTAGGAGTGAGGGCACATCTTCTTTGTGAAGAGGGCTTTAAGAAAAAATATGTGGCCTTTGTGGGACAAGCCTTGAGCTGAAAGGATGGGCTGAACGTAGGTTGTGAAATTGAAGCATGGTTAGAGCAGACAGATGCTTTGCGTTTTAAGGAGCTGGGGGGCCCCTTTTAGGATATTCAGTTGTGGAAGTAAATCTTTTTCTCCTGTGACCTCTTTGATGAATTGGTCAAGTGCCTTACCATAGGTCTTCCTTGAAAAGGTCTATGTGCATGGCATTTTTATTTTGCAGGTCGCTTCAGATGTCCAAGCTTTCAGACAAAAGATTCTGTGCATATGAACGGAGATTTAGAGCCATTCCGCAAATTTGTCTCATGACGTGTTCTAGTACATTCACACAAATAAGCATAGCAGAATGCAGTTGTTATAATGGTGCAAACCTGTAAGAAAATGTTGGGCTTTGTCCTAGTCCAGTAAGCTGCAGTTTGAGATACTGAATCAGTACCGAGAGATGTTTGCACAGCTGGACACACACAAGAGCAAAGAGTGTATTTACGAGTGTCTCAAATTTTCTACCTGCAGAATCTTAGAAAGAAGGAACCTCTTCAATAGGTATAATGAGATATTTGTTTTGGACAGACCGCAGAATCAACCACACAATGTTGTTGATGGAATATTTTGCAGGATTTTGCTGGTTTCTCTGTATCCAATGGGGCAATGCAAAATGGAAAAGAATAACGTTGCACAATGTCAAGCCTTTTGCGGACAGAGGCAATGGGGTTTTTCAGCAAGTGTGTTGTGTGAAGTTCACTCTCCAATACAGCGGTAGTCTGGAGAAGAAAAATCTTCCACAGCTTTCTCCAAAAGTGTCTCAAAATCTTCATTACCTTCTGTGTCTGGGTCCTCTAAGACCAGCATATGGGGGCCTGACTAAAGCTGAGAAATGGGCATGGCATTTTTGAGCCATGGACAAAAAAGGTTGTATTAAAGTAGAGCTATTAGCAAAACTTTTTTTTCATTTTGGATAGAGCAAGGGAGGGTTACATTTTTTTTTCGCCATCTGTGTTCCATTGGGAAGATATGACTTTGCTTCTTGTCCTATAACCAAACAGGTAGTGAGATGAAATCCCTGCAAATTAAGGGGATTCCTTGTGGACCCCCAGGTCATCAGAACCAGTGTCCCCATTAAAAGATTTCCCCTCTATTACATTTCAAGTGACCACTCAAAATGTGGGATTTTCGTTTACTTTCAATGATAATGGTAAACATGACAAATAAGGAGATTCACACTCTATAACAGGGGCACGGACAGCAATGAAAATGTTCTAATCCCTCTCCACTCTATCCAAAACTAAAAAAAAAAAGTTTAGTCTTTAGTCATACTTTAAGGCCATAGTCTTTCAGATGAATTGTGACAAAGAAGCCAAAATTCTGCTTTAGTCAAACAGGCCACTTGTTGCATGCCTGAAATAAGAGCTAGAAAAGGATGCAGAGACTGGCATTAGAGCCTGATCCTGCTCTGATGCAAGGGAGACATCTTCACTCTGAGTCTGAGGGCCTTCAGCAGAGTGGATGTTCACCTGCAATTTTGCATTCACTCCCTTTCCCTAGCTATAAGTGAGGGTATTCCCCAGTGGGGTACTCAAGAAATAGGGAGCAGAGTAAAAGGTAAGGGAGTCCAGAAAGAGTATGCAGTACCTCACATGTAGACTATTCTGTAATGAATCCTCATGTCAAAAGGGTAGGAGGAAACACCTGTGTGATCATCCATCTGAGACTAAGCTCTGAGTGGTTGAATTTTAGTGCCAAGCAGGGGCGGACTGACCTTTTGGATTCTCGGGCACTGCCCGAGGGCCCGGGGTCAGTAGGGGGCCCCATGAGATGCCCCTGGTCCTTTTTCATAGGTTTTTTTGAGTTTGGACAAGGACACAGGGGCCCCATGATCCCCTATTTCCCTGGGGCCCCATGAGTTGTCAGTCTGCCCCTGGTGCCTAGCTTGAAAAATTTACACAGGAAGGTGAATACATTCCAAGCATAGCCCATCTTTACAGTAACAGTCAAAGATACAGGGTGATCCTGTCTTACTTTTCCACAACACTGGACTGTACATAAGGTTCAGGCTTCAGCCGTCAGTTGCCATACCTCTGAATGGGTCTTCAGGGCCTAGGCTCTAAAGCAATGGACCACAGCCCTGGACTTGAGTAGCACCTTGCCGCTGACTCAGCTCATTGCACCAAGTGCCAAGGTCAGTGCCCATGCAAGATCCAGTGCCTGAAGCAATATTACAGGCCGTCCATACAACACGCGGTCTGGGTTCAGCTCCCAAGGTTTTGCTGAGGTTGCACTGATCCGGATACACTGCTTCTATATTGGCATTAGAAAACAATGAGGGAGTTGAATGAAGAATGTGAAGATAAAAAAGAAATGATAAACCATTTAAGCGAAGGGTAATTTTCTCCATGAAGGAGAAGATGTATATCATCTTCAGATTCCCTCACAAAAGTGAGGGTTCACGGAGTGGGGGTAAGGTTATGAAGGAGATGCCCAAGGAGGGTGTACCCTAAAGCGTTGCCAGTGTCCAACCACCGGAAAGTACAAACCTAAAACCCATGATGTATCAATAATGTATAATTAAGTTTATTTTCTTTTGCTTCTGAAAGGGTTAAAATACCCAGTCAGGTGTTTGTTGCTGTCTGAGTCTGTGCTGGAGAGATTCAGCCTCTCTATCTGTTCTAGTAGGCACCTGCAGAGAAGGTGATGAGAAATCTTGTAATGGAGAAACTGATTCTGGGGACAATGGTCTCGAGAGTATTGCCCCTCACATTAGAAGTATTTCCTCCTATGTACAGATTCTCCAGGACAGAAAAGAAGTACAAAGGCCTCAAAAACAAAACAAAACAAAAAAAACCTGCACATTTAACCCTGTTCTTCCCCAAATAAAAAAAAAAAAATGTTAGGATTCTAATATTGTTTAAGGGTCTTGTAGGCCTATAGAAAGGAGCCCCAGATTTACATTACTGTAGAAGAAAGTCTCTTCTATATTTGCCACAGCTCCTTATTCCTCCTTTAATAGAAGTCTGGCCCGAGTCTTTTCCATTTTAGCCTTTGTGTTGCCAACAATAAATGCATATTGCTGGGTTCCTGTGAATTTGGGAATTACACAGATTACAAAAGAGTAACTTTACTATGAAGAGGGTATCTATTTGCTTTCTATAAAATATATTAAATTACTGTATTTACTAAAGGTAAGAGACAGGTTAGAGATGCTATAAGGCTAAAATATCTTCTGTTTTTTCTCAAACAAAGTGTACCACTGATGATGTATTAATGGCAGTATGATTAATATATGTTAAGATACATATGCATTTGAAGTAATCAAATCAAGGGGTCAGGTTTGCATCAGCAAACGTTGCATAGGAGTCTTGGTCACAGAAGTAATGAACAGCAAATAGATATCACACCCCATTTCCATATGGCAAAACCAAGTATTCTCTGGTATAGGATGCCTAGTATGTGCATATTACTATGCATTTACCAACTTTCAGATAGTTGTTCTAAGACTAGGATCTTACAAGGGTGCAGCAGCAGGGATTGGAGTGGGGGGCAGCTAAGAAACCTGGTAAGCTATAGTGTTGGGAGGGGGGTACCTCCCATGGGCTTAAACTGCTTTTGCTGTACACCTGACAGATGGGCTCTGAGGTTTTATGAGTAAAAGAAGGGAAATTAAAACAATATTCCAAATATATAATTTTTATATGATCAATGTCATCAATACATACACTTATCAAGGAAGCAAAAGCATGTGTCGAGTCAGATTCATCAGCTATGTAGTTAAAAGCACGCCACAAAGCAGTTCCCACATCTTCATCTGTTTCTTGGTTTTCATCAGAATTAACAACAAACACAAATCCAATCCTAAAAAATTAAAACAGAATGCTATTTATGCAGGATGCACTATGCAGAAAATATACCCAAATGAAAATGAGCAGTGCCTGTGTATGATTCTATGATTAATTTATTTTTTCATCTACTTGAAGGTAACTAAATACTTAAAATGAAATACATCAATATTGTGTTACAAAGAAAGCAGAAATGATTTATGCAGTAAAAAGACTGTACAATGTGAAACCAAGTTCTTACAGAGGCTGAGGCAAACAGGTCTTTCCTAATGTGTGTATTTTGGAATGTTCACATTGAAATACAGTATTATAAGCATTTGTTTAATCAGCAGATGTTACTTGTAAATAAAGTTTGTTTGATTTTATATGATCACTGTGACAATTACAAAAACATGAATAGGTTTGACATGTGTTTTCATTTGTTTACATTGATAGCAGCTAAAAAGTAAAACAATTAGACAGCATGCCAGCTAAACATGAAAACAATTACACAGCATGCCAAGGCTATCTTGAAAAACTCACACCTCCAAATTGAATGTTGCTGAAAAGAATGGTCCACCCAACCCTGGAAAATTCACATTTCAACCACTGGGCTGAAGATCCTTTCAAAACACTTTTAAAATACGATCTAGTGCTGATGCAAATGAAGACAGGAGGAATCTGCCGATTCCTGCAGCTGTTTCAGCCATCTGTGTGCAGTTACCTGTGGCTGCCGAGCCCTGTACATTTCAAGGACATATCGGCAGCAGTCGCAGCTATCACTGGCTGTCCGCAAGGCCGGCAGGTTCCTGCACTTTGCATTCGCACCAGCGCTAGCCATCCGTGCAAACGTAGCCTATTACATGCAGGGTTTTTTTTTTTCTTGTTATCTGCTATAAGACTAACAGCCTAAGTGAAAAATGTCTCACTAGAGAACACCAAATCTAATGTCTACTAAAATGTACGATCAAAAATATATTAAATTAAAAAAGGAATTTTTACTCGTACATAAATATGGTGCAGCATATTCTATTCCATTGTCATACATAATAAATCACTATTCAATGTGTGCAAAAAACAAACAAAAAAAACATATCCACAATATCCAGTCACCGTGTTGTGATTTCCTGCCCCTTAAACTGTCCTTCTTAGGGCTATATACAACACCCAGCATGATTGAACTCATGGTAACCTCCACCAGTTGTGCTCTCACCTAGTATAAATGACCTTACTTATGAAGGGTCAGAGAAAGCTTTTGTTCCTTCAGTCAGACTGTTTCAATTCTCCTTATGATGGTACTTTTCCTTTAATGCTTTTCAAAGACCAATCTCTTCCCGAGTATAGGCACACTTTATAATTAAAAGCACTCTCCAGTCTTCATCTCCCATCCACACGTTTTTTTTTTATACAGCACTGTACACTATGAGTTGGTTATATGGGGTACCTAGTATGGGTGGCCCGGTATATTTTAACAGTTTAGAAATTAAAAGGTGTTATGTACATTTTACATACAACTCACTATAGTTACGGGAATGCCCGCATTTTGATAAGATTTTGCTAATAGTCCATTATTTGGTTGGGATATATTTGGGTTAATACATGAGCACATACATGGATTGATCTTCATAAGATCGGTGTATTCAACTCCACAACAAAATGGTATCTGTATCAGACTATTGAGAAGTGTAAGGGGAAATGGGTTTGTAAGAAAATCTCCAATTATATGTCAGAATCTCCAACAAAATGGCACTGGGCGTCAAATATATAAAAGGATTGTGGTACATCATCCAATCAGATACCCCTGAGCAGGGGCGGACTGAAAACTCATGGGGCCCCCGGGCAATCAGGGATCATGGGGCCCCTGTGTCCTTGCCCAAACTCAAAAAAGCCTATGAAAAAGGTACCAGGGGCATCTCATGGGGCTCGCTGCATTGTATACATGTGATATTTCATACCTTTGGTATAATTTTTGGGAATTCCCCTCTATGGGATAGAACCTATATGGTCATGACACATGTCTTTATATTTATTACATGTGACACTATATACCTATGGTATAATTTTTGTGTACACCTCCTTTGGGAAGTGTTAACCTATGTGCCAGTGCTACAAAGACTTTAGACCTTAGTGGTCATTGTCTTTGCAGCACATCTATCCAGACCGGTCTTGGTGTTATTTTATATGGTTTTAGGTCTGTGTGTATTGTCTCATACTGAGGTGATGGTAAACCAGGGCGATTGCCCATATGTCAAATATTTATATGTAATAAAGCGTAATTTTTGGAAATTTTTCTGAGTATCACATTCTGTTCATAATGTAGCCGCTTTTCTGTGAATTCCTTTTCACAAACTCTTCTTTTTTGTATGCATCTCATGGGGCCCCCTACTGACCCCGGGCCCTCGGGCAGTGCCCGAGTTTCCAAATGGTCAGTCCGCCCCTGAGGAAGTCTCATGACCCTGTGACGAAAAGAGTAGGAAAGGGGCTGGATGTCGTCGCAATGCTGTGTACCAAAAACTGTATACAATTCACAGTACTACAGAGAGAATTCTAAGAAACTGATATTGAAGTTATATGCATGTGGCTTGGTGGGACAAAACACCTGTGAAATATAAGTGCAATTGTATAAGCTGGGAAGGAGGAATAAACGGTTTTGAAAAGGAAAAGCACGGTTTAGTTACTTTTTTTTTACATGCACTGTGGAATGGGAAATGAAGACTGGAGAGTGCTTTTAAAGATGCAGTGAAGAAAATACTTATTTGATTCGTTACAGATTTTGTATATGTACATACTGTATGTCACAGAAGTGAGTACACTCCTCACATTTTTGTAAATATTTTATTATATCTTTCATGTGACAACACTGAAGAAATGGCACTGCTACAAAGTAGTGAGTGTACAGCTTGTATAACAGTGTAAATTTGCTGTCCCCTCAAAATAACCCACAGCCATTAATGTCTAAACCGTTGGCAACAAAAATGAGCATACCCCTAAGTGAAAATGTCCAAATTGGGCCCAATTACCCATTTTCCCTCCCCGGTGTCATGTGACTCTTTAGTGTTACAAGGTCTCAGGTGTGAATGAGGAGCAAGTTTGTTAAATTTAGTGTTATTGATCTCACTCTGTCATACTGGTCACTGGAAGTTCAACATGGCACCTCATTCCAAAGAACTCTGAGGATCTGAAAAAAATAATTGTTGCTTCTACATAAAGATGGCCTAGGCTATAAGAAGATTGCCAAGACCCTGAAACTGAGCTGCAGCACGGTAGCCAAGACCATATAGCGGTCTAACAAGACAGGTTCCACTCAGAACAGGCCTCACCATGGTCGACCAAAGAAGTGGAGTGCATGTGCTCAGCATCATATCCAGAGGTTGTCTTTGGGAAATAGACGTACAGTCAGGTCCATAAATATTGGGACATCGACACAGTTCTAACATTTGTGGCTCTATACACCACCACAATGGATTTGAAATGAAACGAACAAGATGTACTTTAACTGCAGACTGTCAGCTTTAATTTGAGGGTATTTACATCCAAATCAGGTGAATGGTGTAGGAAGTACAACAGTTTGCATATGTGCCTCCCACTTGTTAAGGAACCAAAAGTAATGGGACAGAATAATCATCATAAATCAAACTTTCACTTTTTAATACTTGGTTGCAAATCCTTTGCAGTCAATTACAGCCTGAAGTCTGGAATGCATAGACATCACCAGACGCTGGGTTTCATCCCTGGTGATGCTCTGCCAGGCTTCTACTGCAACTGTCTTCAGTTCCTGCTTGTTTTTTTAGAATTGTGTCAATGTCCCAATATTTATGGACCTGACTGTATGAGTGCTGCCAGCATTGCTGCAGAGGTTGAAGGGGTTGGAGGTCAGCCTGTCAGTGCTCAGACCATACGCCGCACACCGCATCAAATTGGTCTGCATGGCTGTCTTCCCAGAAGGAAGCCTCTTCTAAAGATGATGCACAAGAAAGCCCGCAAACAGTTTGCTGAAGACAAGCAGACTAAGGACATGGATTAGTGCAACCATGTCCTGTGGTCTGATGAGACCAAGATAAACTGATTTGGTTCAGATGGTGTCAAGCATGTGTGGTGGCAACCAGGTGAGGAGTACAAAGATAAGTGTGTCTTGCTTATAGTCAAGCATGGTGGTGGGAGTGTTATGGTCTGGGACTGCATGAGTGCTGCCGGCACTGGGGAGCTACAGTTCATTAAGGGAACCATCAATGCCAACATGTACTGTGACATACTGAAGCAGAACATGATCCGCTCCCTTTGGAGACTGGGCCGCAGGGCAGTATTCCAACATGATAACGACCCCAAACAGCTCCAAGATGACCACTGCCTTGCTAAAGAAGATGAGGGTAAAGGTGATGGACTTGTCAAGCATGTCTTCAGACCTAAACCCTATTGAGCATCTGTGGGGCATCCTCAAATGGAAGGTGGAGGAGCGCAACATCTAACATCCACCAGCTCCGTGATGTTGTCCTGGAGGAGGACTCCAGTAGCAACCTGTGAAGCTTTGATGAACCCCATGCCCAAGTGGGTTAAGGCAGTTCTGGAAAATAATGGTGACCACACAAAATATTAACATTTTGGGTTCAATTTGGACATTTTCACTTAGGGGTGTACTCACTTTTGTTGCCGGCAGTTTAGACAGTAATGGCTGTGTGTTATTTTGAGGGGACAGAAAATTTACACTGTTATACAAGCTGTACACGCACTACTTTACATTGTAGTAAAGTATCATTTCTTCAGTGTTGTCACATGAAAAGATATAATCAAATATTTACAAAAATGTTAGGGGTGTACTCACTTCTGTGAGATCCTGTATGATGTAGAGTCAGAAAAAGCTTTTGACCCTTCAGTCGGACTGTTTCAATCCTTTGTGTGATGGTACTTTTTTCCTTTAAGGCTTTTTAAAGACCTAGCTCCTCCAGAGTATAGGCATACTACAAAGTGGCAAAAATAATGATTTGATCCTCTGCACATTTTGTAAATTAGCCCACTTACAAAGAAATGAAGGGTCTATCATTTTTTCATAGGTGTATTTTAAATGATAGGGACAGAGTATCAAAAAGACATGATACAAATGTTATAAATTGAGTTGCAGTTCAGTGAGTAAAAGTAGTATTTGATCCCCAAGCAAAAGATGACTCCGTATTTGGTGGAGAAACCCTTGTTGGTGAGCAAAGAGGTAAGATGTTTCTTATAGTTGGTTACCAGGTTTGCACAAATCTCAGGAGGGATTTTGGTCCACTCTTCTTTATAGATCATCTCTAAATTATTTAAGGTTTCCTGGCTGTTGCTTGGCAATTGGAAGTTTCAGCTCCCTCTATAAATTTTCTATAGAATTAAGGTCTGGAGAGTGGCTAGGCCACTCCATGACCTTAATGTCCTTCTTCCTGAACCACTCCTTTGTTGCCTTGGTGGTATGTTTTGGGTCATTGTCAAGCTGAGAGAAGGTGGTTCGCATTCAAAATTTTACAATTCATGACCTTGTCCATTGGCTCTTCAATGTGGCAAAGTCGGCCTATACCTTTAGCAGAGAAACCACCCCAAAACATAATGTTTCCACCTCCATGCTTGGCTGTAGGGATGGTGTTCTTAGGGTCATAGTCAGCAATTTTCTTCCTCCAAACACGGTGAGTTGAGTTAATGCCGAAGAGCTCAATTTTGGTCTCATCTGACCAGAGCACTTTCTCTCAATCCTTCTCTGAATCATTTAGATGTTCATTGGCAAACTTCAGATAGGCCAGTATATGTGCCTGCTTGAGGAGAGGGACCTTGCGGGCTCTGCAGGTTTTCAATCCATGGTGGTGTATTGTGTTACCAATGGTTTATTTGGGGACTGTGGTCTCAAATGAATTGAGATCATTCACAAACTCCTGTGTAGTTCTGGGCTGATCCCTCACTTTTCTCATGATCATCCTTACCCCATGAGGCAAAATCTTGCATGGAGCTCCAGACCAAGGGAGATTGATGGATATTTTGTATTTCTTCCATTTGCAAATAATCACTCGAACAGTTGTTTACTTCTCACCAAGCTTCTTACTGATGGTCTTGTAGCCAATTCCAGCCTTGTGTAGGCCTACAGTCTTGTCCCTGACGTCCTTTGACAGCACTTTGGTCTTGCACCATGGTGGTGAGATTTGAATGGAAGAAAGAATGTGTGGACAGGTGTCATCTTAAATTGACAAGACTAATCTGTATACCACATGAGCACATAGCCAGTCTGTGGGAGCCAGAATTATTGTTGGTTGGTACGGGATCAAATACTACTTTTACTCACTGAACTGCAACTCAATTTATAACATTTGTATCATGTCTTTTTGATACTCTGTCCCTATCATTTAAAATACACCTATGAAAAAATGATAGACCCTTCATTTCTTTGTAAGTGGGCTAATTTACAAAATGTGCAGAGGATCAAATCATTATTTTGCCACTTTGTAGTATGCCTATACTCGGGAGGAGCTAGGTCTTTAAAAAGCCTTAAAGGAAAAAAGTACCATCACACAAAGAATTGAAACAGTCCAACTGAAGGGTCAAAAGCTTTTTCTGACCCTACATCATACAGGATCTCACAGAAGTGAGTACACCTCTAACATTTTTGTAAATATTTGATTATATCTTTTCATGTGATAACACTGAAGAAATGATACTTTACTACAATGTAAAGTAGTGCATGTACAGTGTATAACAGTGTAAATTTTCTGTCCCCTCAAAATAACACACAGCCATTACTGTCTAAACTGCCGGCAACAAAAGTGAGTACACCCCTAAGTGAAAATGTCCAAATTGGACCCAAAATGTCAATATTTTGTGTGGTCACCATTATTTTCTAGAACTGCCTTAACCCACTTGGGCATGGGGTTACCAAAGAGAGAGAGAGGGGGCGAGGGGAGAGAGAGAGGGGGGGGGGAGGGGGGAGGGGGGGGAGGAGGGGAGAGAGGGGAAGAGGGAAGAGGGAAGAGGGGAGAGGGGAAGAGGGGGAGGAGGGAGGGAAGAGAGGAGGGGGTGGAAGAGAGAGAGGGGGGAGGAGGAGAGAGAGAGAGGGGGGAGGAGGCGAGAGAGAGGGGGGAGGAGGAGAGAGAGAGGGGGAGGAGGAGCGAGAGAGAGGGGGGAGGAGGAGAGAGAGGGGGGGGGAGGAGAGAGAGAGGGGGGGGAGGAGGAGAGAGGGGGGGGAGGAGGAGAGAGAGAGGGGAGGAGGAGAGAGAGAGAGGGGGGGAGAGAGAGAGGGGGGGAGGAGGAGAGAGAGAGGAGGGGGGGGAGAGAGAGGGGGGGGGGAGAGAGGGGGAGGGGGAGAGAGGGGGGGAGGGGGAGAGGGGGGGGAGAGAGGGGGGAGAGAGAGGGGGGGAGAGAGAGGGGAGAGCGAGAGAGAGGGGGGGAGAGAGCGAGGGGGGGGGGAGGAGAGGGAGGGGGGGGAGGAGGAGAGCGAGAGAGGGGGGGAGGAAGAGAGCGAGAGAGGGGGGAGGAGGAGAGCAGAGAGGGGGAGGAGGAGAGCGAGGGGCGAGGAGGAGAGCGAGGAGGAGAGCGAGGGGGAGGAGGAGAGCGAGGAGGAGAGCGAGGAGGAGAGCGAGGGGGAGGAGGAGAGCGAGGGGGGAGGAGGAGAGCGAGGGGGGAGGAGGAGAGCGAGGGGGGAGGAGGAGAGCGAGGGGGGAGGAGGAGAGCGAGGGGGGAGGAGGAGAGCGAGGGGGGAGGAGAGAGCGAGGGGGAGGAGAGAGCGAGGGGGAGAGCGAGGGGGAGTGAAGGAGCGAGGGGGGAGAGAGAAAGAGAGCGAAGGGGGGGAGGAGAAAGAGAGCAAAGGGGGAGGAGAGAGAGAAAGAGAGCGAAGAGGGAGGAGAGAGAGAGAAATTAGCTAATGCCATGGTCTGTAAACTTCTTGGGAGCTGAAAGTTTGAGTTGCCAAATGTCAGCCACCAAACCTGAATGACTTGGAGAGGATCTGCCAAGAGGAGTGGGCCAAAATCCCTCCTGAGATGTGTGCAAACCTGGTGACCAACTACAGAAAACCTCTGGCCTCTGTGATTGCCAACAAGGGATTTGTCACCAAGTACTAAGTCATGTTTTGTGAAGGGGATCAAATCCTTATTTCCCTCATGAACTTGCAAATCAGTGCATACTTTGTTAGACATGCATTTCTTTTGAATTTTTTGTCACTATTCTGTCTCTCAGTGTTACAATACACCTACCATTCGATTTATAGACTGATCATTTCTTTGTGAGTGGGCAAATATTCAAAATCAGCAGGGGATCAAATACTTATTTCCTTCACTGTATACACGAGTGTACAAGAGTTCACGGTTCTATTTTATTTAACAGCAGCTAAACTGATTGCACCTAAAAAACGCAGGTAAATTCAGAGTTTGAATGACCAGTGATAAATCATTACCTGCATTTAGAAATGTCCTCTAAAAGCATATAAACCATGGGCTGACACTGCCAGTGTGAATGAGGTCTTATCGTTTCTATAAAAGATCACTTCACAATACTATGTGAACCATGATATGGCTGAGATTATTTTTTTTTTGGGACTGACACACATTACAATATAGGTCTTCTAATAAGCACACAGCACATATGCCATGTTAACGGTTTCTTTTTTTAAATGTTATTACTGTAGACCTTCTACTGGGCGATTACATTACCAGTTAATTTGTACAATGCAAAGTGATTAATTTTGCCAGTTAACATACGATACCTGAGAGGTACATTGTGACGGTAGAATAATTCTGCAAGCTTCACATAATCAGCTGTATAATCTTGAGCGGGATCAACCAAAAATACCTATGAAAAATGCACAGTTTAGCTGATGCTCATGAACAGCAATCCCCTCTGTGGATAAACGCAAGAATTATGCTTGTTTAATGAAAAACAACAATGCATCTACATATTTAAAGGGTCAGTTCTACTGTTTAATTATATAAAATTTGAATGAAAAAAATGCGTGCCAAGATTACAATGGTATTCTGTCCCTGTACTTCAGTTGAAGAAAAGCAATACACTTACTGCTTCATTAATAAATCTATGTAATAGGGCAAGGATAATTCATGTACAGATGGAAATGGACAGAAGATAAAATCAAAATATTTCATATAATTTTGATTTAAGGTGGTTGTAAAGGCTCAAGATTTATTTACATTCATGCATTCTGTGCATTAAGGTAGAAAAAAAAAACAAAACCTTTGTGTAGCAGCCCCCACAACCCCTCCTAATACTTACCTGAGCACCATTGCAATCCAGCAATGTGCACAAGAGCCTCGGCTGTCTGGGGACTCTCCCTCCTCATTGACAAAGACAGCAGCGGGAGCCATTGGCAGCCAATGAGTAGAGAGAGTGGGAGGGCTCTGTGTGTGAATGGACACGCAGAGCAGCAGCTTGGGAGTGAGCCTGCTTAGGTGGCCTCAGTAGAACGGAGGTGCCAGGAGCACCGGTGGGGGAACTGAGAAGTGGAGGATCAGGGCTGCTCTGTGCAAAACTACTGCATAGAGCAGGTAAAAATAACATGTTTGTTATTTTAAATAAAAACTGCATTTAATATCACTTTAATCTGAAAGCACACAGCTTGGCCTGCAATAAACCCACTGAAAATATTTGCTACCAAATGTCGAACAAAAGTTTAAACAGGCTTAGTACAAAAGTAAAGACTCCAATTCACAAAAGATAGTGCAGTTTTCAGAACATTAAATTACAAACAAAACAAACTTCTCCATACTTTCAATTAGGGACACTGCAGTGTTTATTCCAGTCCCCTACTACTGGCACTAACCTGCATCCCATAACAACTATTTTATCATTCATCTCAGTTATTCAACCATCGATATTGTCTTGCATTCTTATCCTTCTACTCAGTAACCTTTATTCTACTTTGCTTAGTCCACTATTTGTCTTAAACCTGAGGAGAGAATGATTAAAGTCTAAGTTTTTGTTAGGAGAGCTGATACATTTAAAGCAGAACTCTGGTAAAAAAAAACTTCTTTACATGTTCTTGTTTCTGATTTTCTACCTTTACTGAATATGTCATCCATCTTTTGGTTCACTCAGTAGTTGCTCTGAAAAATTAATTTTCAAATCAAACTGTTAATTCTCTTTGGTTTCCTGTTTGTAAGATCGGTGACTGCTATGCCTCCTAATTCCCCATCCACTGGTCTTGGCACCTTCTGTAGGTCTTTCTCCAGGAAGCAGAGATGTAATTCAGCCCCACTTGCAATGGTGGGTGGACCAAGACTGTACAGGCCTAGTGTACCTGCCCACATTCACTACAATTCCCTGTGGTAGATGGGAACTGTAATTTCCTTTTACTGCAGAGAAAGAGGACAGGATAAGATGTAATCCCTGTTGTTACACCTCCTCCTTGGCAGATCATATGTTGTTATTTTTTAAATAACAGAGATGAGGTCATGAAAATTCAATTATTTTCTCCTAAATGGTAAGGAATTTCCCAATTGTATTAACCACTTGCCCTCCAGAGGATTTATCCCCCTTCCTGACCAAGCCATTTTTTGCATTACAGCGCTGCGTTATTTTAACTGACAATTGCCTGGTCATTCAACGTTGCACCCAAATGAAGTTTGCGGCCTTTTTTTCCCCACAAATTGAGCTTTCTTTCATTGGTATTTGATTGCATGTACGTTTTGTTTTTTGCATTAAAAAAAAAAAAGGCCGCCAGTTTTGAGAAGAAAACAATATTTTTGACTTTTTGCTATTAAACATGCCCAGAAAAAAAAAAAAAAAAAAAAGAGTGTAGGCCAAAATGCATTCTGCTAGAGCTTTGCTAAAAAAAAAAAATCCCACTACGTGTAAATTAATTGGTTTGCGTGAAAGTTATAGCGTTTACAAATGGCAGTATATATACGGATTTGTTTTTTTTCTCATTTTTACTAGTATTGCCAGTGATCACCGACTTATAGAGGGACTGTGGTGGGCATTCTGACACTGGGGGGGAACTGACTTGGTGTCACTGACATCACCAGTGACACCAATACAGTTATCAGTGATTAAAAAAAAAAAAAAAAAAAAAAAAAAGCACTGGCACTGTACTAATGGCACTGCGCAGGAAGGGGTTAACATGAGGGGCAATCAAAGGGTTAACTGTGTTCTTGGGAGGGTTTTACTAGGGGGTGGGATTTGTGTGATTCACTGTAATCACACTGCTGTGGATGGCTGTGCTGTCAGGGAGAAGATCAAAACAGTCCTCCTCCCCATCGGAGATCCTTAGAAATCACTGGGCGCTGGCGAGTAATTACCAGCCAGGGTCCAGCGACTGACGGAAGCGGCTCTGAAATGCAAAATGACATATATATACACGTGATTTTGTGCACCACTGCCACCCTGTAGCAGTATTTCTGCTATAGGGCGGGCAGCAAGCGGTTAACTGACAGTATGTGAAAAAAAAAATTTTTTTTTTTACTTTAGTACTTTTTTAAAAAAAAAAAAAATTAACTTCCTGTCACCACACCAATACAATGTTACAATAGTAACACTACTACTCTGGGGAATTGATCAGGATTTATTTTTTTTACACACATTATGATTGCTTATACCAGTGAATTACACTCTTATAAGAAACCATTTTTACGGATATGAATGGTACCCATTGGGAAATGGGGGGACTTGTCATGCAACTTTGGACCCCAAAGTTGCAAAGCAAGTAGCGTAAGTATGAATGTGCTCTAAACCTTCAGATAAGGGAGGTAATATTGTTTTTATGGACTGCAAACACTATGAAACTACATGAACAACACTAGATATTCTAAAAGACAAAAAATAAAAAGAATGGTATTACAAAACTATGTCATATCTATCATGGCCACGAACCTATGGGCGGGGCGAAACGCAACAGAGGACGTGGCCAGAGTGACGGCCGAGGCCATACATTTACAATGTCTTCACAAGACTCCTTGGGATGGATATGAGCGGCATCCATCCACTCTCCCTGCACACTACTTAGTTTCTTGTACAACTTGGGATGCTGCTCCCCTCTTTGCTGGTGAGATGATTGTGTCTTGTCCAGCCTTGAGCAGTGCTATATGCTTGCTATACGGTCATGGAGAGTTTTAACCACTTCAAGTCTGAACAATTTTACCCCCTTCCTATCCAGGCCAATTTTCAGCTTTCAGTGCTATCACACTTTGAATGACAATTGCGCGGTCATGCAACACTGTACCCATATGAAATTTTTAGCATTTTTTGAGACAGATAAAGCTTTATTTTGGTGGTCTTTATTCACCACTGGGATTTTTATTTTTTTGCTATGTAAATGAAAAAGTTCAAAATTTTTGAAAAAAAGTGTTTTTCTTATTAAATAATATTTCATCATAAATCTTGGCCAAAATGTATTCCATTATCTTCTTAGTAAAAAAAAAAAAATAACCCAAATTATAATTTTTAAACTTTTTTTACATTTTTATTTTACTTTTTATATTATTTATTTTTTTACATACTGTCACCCTAGCAGTACAGTGTCACCAGTACAGCCACTAGCAGTACAGCCATAAAGGCTGTAAAAGCAATAATTTCTCCTTCTCTCTGGCTGCACTCTTGCAGCCATTGAGAACTACTGTGTCAGTTGTGATTGGTCACAGCTTGTCACACGGTACAAGGATGTTGTGAATAGCCTTGTACCATGTGACCTCTGTGATCATTCACAGATTTCACACGTAGTAAGCAATGATGTCAGAAGTGACATCTTGCTTACTACTCTACATGTGATCACTGATTGGCCAATCAGTGATCACATGATCGGGACATCGCAGAGAGGTCCCGTATGACGATCGGTGTGCCACTGTGTCAAGCAGGGGGCGGGAAGGCTGTTTATAAATGGCCACCCGCCCCTGCACTGCCACCATCCAGCCGTTTATATACCACGGCCAGACAGGAGGTGGTTAATAAATAGATTTTGTTTATTTCCTTTGAAAAAAAAATTTTTTTTGAAAGTGGACTTTGCACAAATACCACATTTCTATGCACTGTTTCTATGCACTGCCAAAACACTCAAGTCAGGATGTCTCCAGAAGTCTAATTGTATATGGTATAAGAATCTAAGTTCACAGGTTACTAATTTACAATCATAAACAGGTGCATCTCAATAAATTAGATCATCAAAAAGTTAATTTATTTCAGTAACTGAAAAAATGAAACTCATTCTAGAGATTCATTACACACAGTGATATATTTCAAGCATTTCTGTCTTTTAATTTTCATGTTTAAGATTTACAGCTAGTGAAAACCCAAAATTTTGTATCTCAGAAAATTTGAATATTGTGAAAAGCTCAATATTGTAGACTCATGGTGTTACCCTCTAATCAAAACACCTGTAAAGGTTTCCTGAGCCTTAATATGGTCTCTCAGTCTGGTTCAGTAGATTATACAATCATGGGGAAGACTGCTGACTTGACAGTTGTCCAGAAGACAGTCATTGACACCCTCCATAAGGAGGGTAAGCCACAAAAGGTCATTGCTAAAGAAGCAGGCTTCACAGAGTGCTGTGTCCAAGCATATTAATGGAAAGTTGATTGGAAGGAAAAATTGTGGTAGAAAAAGGTGCACAAGCAACAGGGATAACCACAGCCTTGAGAGGAGTGTGAAGTAAAGGCCATTCAAGAAATTGGGGAATTTCACAAAGAGTGGACTACAGCTGATGTCGGTGCTTCAAGAGCCACCACACACAGACATATTCAGGACATGGGCTACAACTGTTGCATTCTTTGTCTTACCTGGGCTAAGGAGAAAAAGGACTGGACTGTTGCTCAGTGATCCAAAGTCCTCCTTTTGGATGAAAGTAAATTTTGCATTTCATTTGGAAATCAAAGTCCCAGAGTCTGGAGAGGCACAGAATCCAAGTTGCATGAGGTCCAATGTGAAATGTCCACAGTCCATGATGATTTGCAGAGCCATGCCATCTGCTTGTTTTGGTCCACTGTATTTGTATTTATAAGT